GTCGACAGGTGGGCCAGGGCCAGGATGGTGTGGCGCTGGCCTTGAAGCCACCACGGCCTGAGGAGCGGCGGTTGACATACTGGTATTCTAGCATTCTCCGTTGTACAGGTCACTTCACCAGCAAAGGCTACTGTTTTACAGGTGCTCCTTATTTTTACAACTGTGAGAGCTTGGGGGATGCGCCTTTTGCAAGCAAGCTCACTTTTTAAAAATGAAATTTGGGGGCGGGGAAGGGAGGCGGTGAGGGAGGGAAGCTCACAAGCTGGGGCGAGAGATTTATAAAAGTATAAAAAGAAAAATTCGCCAGCAACACAAAATTGAAAAAAACATAATAAATAAACCCCAGCACCAAACCCACCCAGGCGGGAGAAGAAGCCGCCCCTCCTCTGGGGCTCGGATATTTTTCTGCGGTCACCACATTCTCCTCTCCGCCGGACTGGTGGTCATGATTCATCAAACAAGAAAATAAATCTCGGAAGAAAAAATAATGAATAATACAGCACTTCCTGCTGAGACTTCTTTTGTCAAGTGTTAGCGTGGTCTATCATTTTCAGTTTTTTAACCAATTTGTGTCTTTACATTTAAAGTGCATTTTCTTAGAGGTGGCATGTAATTGGGTTTGCTTTTTAATCCAGTGGATAATGTGCCTTTTAATTGAGATTTTCAGGCCAGTTTTATTTATTGATGCAATTATGAATATAGTCAGGCTTTGTCGTCTGTCATCATGCTGTTTCATTTCTATTTGTCCCAGCTGTTTTTTCCCTTTTCTTTCTTTTTCTGTTTCATTTTAGATTAGTCAAGTAATTTTTATGAGTCATTTAAATCTTTTTTGGCTTATTAGCTGTAACTCTTAGTTTTGCTATGTTAGTGGTTGCTGAAGGATTTATAGTATATGATATTAACTTATCACAATCCACTTTCAAGTAATATTGTACCACATCATAGATGGTATACGAAAATTACAATAGTATACTTTCGTTCCTGTCACCCAGCCAGATCCATCCTGTGTCTGTGGGATTATAACTTTAACTAAGTTTAGAAAGTTCCTGGCCATTTTCTCTTCAAATATCTTGTTCTGTCTCTCTCTTCCCTCTTAAGGGGCTTACCTACCAGCTGCCTGAAGTTTTCTCACAGTTCACTGACATCTCAAATTCATGAATCTTGTTTTTTGTGATGTCTAATTTGTGTTTATTTCCATTCAGTTTAGTTTTGTCTCAGACATTGTAATTGGTATTTCCGTAAGTGTAATTTAGTTTTTAAAAATATCTTCCATGCCCCTACTTATCTTCTCAAGCTTTACTTTGAGCTCCAGTTCAGTCACTTATAAACAGCCAGATCCTTTTTCGTCTTATGTTTATGATTGGGCAATTGCCCAGTCTTGAAGCGAGACCTTTCTGATTACCCACTGTTGTATATAAAGTATGAGTTTTTCCATCCTGGCTCATGGAAATGGACACTCCTCTGGCACTGTGTGACTACCAGGCGTGGTTCCCTCTAATTTTTCAGCTGGTTTTCTTCCTTGATCTCGGATAGTTTGCCAGCACTAAATACCCGAGAGGAGATTTCTGCAGATCTCCAGAGTTCTTTCCCCGCACTGCGCTCTCCCGTCCAGTGTTCTTTCCTGTGGTCTCTCTGCTTTGGTTTTATGAGTCTCTCAGCTTCATCACTCCACCTCAAGGCATCTGGTAGACTCCACCTCAGTCTTGTTTTTCCTCTGTCATGGCCTGGAAAGTGTCAAGGCAGGCAGCTTGGGGCATTCATAGGCTTCCTGTGTTTCCTGTCTTTCAGAGATGAGTGTCTTCTTTGCCTGAAGTTCACATTCTTGAAAATCATTGCTTAACGTATGTTGTCTGTTTTGTTTTTGGTTGTTTCAGTTAAGAAGGAAGATCAGTACCTGTTGCTCCCTCTTGGCTAGAAGCGGATCGCAGCAGAGCTTCAGCACATGCTGCAGACTGGCTAGAATGCCTTTCTTCCCCCTTTGCTTAACCTTTCCATCCTTCATTGCTCAGGGTAGCCATCTCTTCCTCAGAGAAACAGGTCAAATTCGCTTATGTGTTCATAAAACTCTTTTCTCTGACAACATCTATCTGGATTTAAAATTGTTATATTTGTTGTCTTTATCCTTCACTACACTTGAAGCTAACAAGAGCAGAGGTCTTGCCTGTTTCATTGCAGAACTTAGCATAATGTCTTCCACATTGTAGGCAATATATATTTATTCAGGGAGGAGTGACTGAATGCTAAAATGCAGTTTTTTATATCCAAAAAGTACTCATTTATCTGATGTCTATCTTGTTTTCTTTCTGATACAGATCCTGTTAACCTACTGAAAATTCAGGATGCCGTTCATTCATGGGAAAGATCAATAGAAGTTGAAAAAAATCACTGTAAACTACTTACAGAAAAAATGAAAAAAATGGAAAATGAGGTCCATGTACTACAAAAGGAGTTATCTGAAACAATAGAAATAAAATTACAGTTAGAACATCAAAACGATGAATGGGAACGAGATTTCTACAGTTTGAGGCATGGCACCCTAGTTTTAAAGAAATGGTTGAAGTATTTCCTTTATGCTAAAAATATGTAGAAGAATTCTGGTATTTACTGACTTACCTTCTGGGGCCGAACAGGGGAGAGAACTTCTGAGCCTTCTGGAGAGTGAAATTCTTTGAGATAATATAACAAGTTCTTTACTGTGAATACTTCTACAAATAACTAAATGCTTACTCTTTTAAATCATCATTTTTATGACTGTATAGGAGTTTACCATATGGAAATCTCATCATTGATTTAGCAAATTGAATTGAGGGTTTTAAAGTTTTTTGTGTTTAAATAATGTTGCAAGGAACATCTTTTTATACAAATCTTTTTCTACATTTTTGGCTATTTACTTTGAATAAATTCTTCAATTTAGATTTTTTTTGTTCAATTATAAAAACTTTTAACAAATGGTCTTTGATCAATATTTCTCAGTTGTTCACAAGAAAATTTATATTAGCTTACAGTGTAGCCAACACGGTATGAAATGTCCATTTTTTTAAAAACTCAGATTAATTCTTTTAAATTTATAGTTTTATTCTTACTATGCATGAAATAAAAGTTGAAATGGAAAGTGATTTCTGATTCGTTTATTCAACATCTCTCACTTTTCCACATATAAAATTAATTCAGAGTTCTATGTGAAAAACACATACTGTCCAAAGTGTCACCCATAAAAGAAACATCAAAAGTGTGGGGTAACCGGTTAGACTCCTTGGCCTAGTCTTGCATTATAGCGATCTGCTGATACATGTGTGAAAAACAGATGAAGGTGCTCTTTTACACTGTAAATCATTTTTAGGGATATCTGCACTATTTCATGAAGATGAACATTTCTAGTGAATTTATAAACATGTTTATAAACGGCAACTTCTTTTTAATTAGCTAACTCTAAATAACTTTCTCTAATTGAGGAGCAATTACAACTGTATAGGGGAAAAAATTACTTTTCTACCTGTAGTGTTGGTGAATAATTTCCAATATCCTTTTCTATAATATTCGCCAGAGTTACTAGGAACAGAAACTTCCCAATTACCAGAATGTTCTTTCCTCCTTACCTTTCAAGTATGCATCATTTGGAAGAGATGGAAGTAAGAAATTGGAAATATAAGAACTAGAAAGGAAAAACATTCACAAGTGTAGACATTTTACTAAGAAAGCAACCAACATATGCAGAGCCAGATCACAAAATGAACTTATTATTTTCTAATGAAACTAATATTAAGATAAACATATTTCACTGCAGATCTGCCTTAAGACAAGAAGAAGAGAAGAGAAAAAAATGCCAACACATTGTATGAAAAAATCAGGGGACACTTAAGAAGAAAAGAAGAGCAGTACATGAAAGAAGTTGAAGCGAACAAACAACTTCAACTGCCTTGAGACCACCGACAGATAGTGGATATCCACGAACCAGGTACACGAAATAAGTTGAAAAACGCAGGCACCAAATCATCGTTTGGGTACAAAGTTTCCCCAATTTCTAACTACTCGTCATCAGTATTCACCTACGTCCCAACTGCGCGCTTGTTTCTCCAACTAAACTTACTCGTAGAAATCTTAAAAAATCAAGAAAAATCACAAGATAACCTATGACATTTTAATAGGTAAACACCCGGCTTATTTATTATATGCCTTTGGCTATGCAACATACGAAGTCGGCTCCCCTAGTGTTTTCTGGTCGAAAGGCGCGTTGCAGGTTTGATCATTAACATAAATGTTTGCGCCGGGCTTTTCTAACGTCTAACAATACAGGCTAAACAGCGCTTTAAAACTGTAATTCGAAACTTAGTTAACTAAGGACTTTGCAAAGAAATTTTACAGTCCAGCTCGCCACACTGGGTATCTGCTTGTATTTCAAAAACTGTTTTTCTTCGCTCTTTGATGGAATTTCAGGTCGCCCTCACTTGTATACTCCATTAAAAGCTTGTGTATTCTTGCCAAGGAAAAAGGATTCTTTCGTGTTTAATCCGTTGTTTGTTTGTTTTTTGAAGATCGATCCTCGCTCCTGTCTACCCGAAGGACTGGAGTCCAGTGGCGCCAATCTCGGCTCACTGCAAGCTCCGCCTCCCGGCGTTTGTCAAAGGCCATTCCCTGCCTCAGGCCTCCCTGAGTACTGGGAACTTACCACGTGCCAGCATCGCCCCCGGTTCTTAATTTCTTTTTTTTTTTTTTTTTTTTTTTTTTTTTTTTTCTTTAAAGAAAAGAGTAGGGTTTCACCGTGTTAAGGCTCAGATGGTCCTCGATCTCTGACCTAATGATTCGCCCACTCAGCCTCCAAAGTGCTGGGGATCTACAGGCCCGTGGCCACCGCGCCCGGGCCGGTTCTTTGCTGTTTTTGACCGGCTACTTATTAAAGAGGTTTTTTTTTTTTTTAAAGGTTCTGCTCTTCAATGTTTAGACCTTTTGCCAATTGTTTATTGAGCTCAAAAATCTAACGTAGTCTCTAGGTTGTACAAAAAGCTCGGTGACACCAGAGGCAACTTTCTCAGAACGAAAAGAATGCGCAAATATTACAAGATGAGAATCCTGACCACTCCTCTTTGCACAAAGGGAGATCAAGGGCACTGGTCTCGCAAGGAAAAGGAAATCTCTCAGGTATTTCCTTTCAGTCCATTTTTCAAAGTCATGTGTGCGTATACATATTGTACAGTGTATTATATATTCTAAAAATCAACATATGCTATCTTGTGGCAACATAGAGAATATCTTTAAAACCATTCATAGTGTGTCCTGTATTGTTCGGGGATGAGTGGTAGTGGTGGCATTTCTGGCCGTTGGATCTAGAGTCATGTTTTAAATTCAACTCCATCTGAGTGCAGTGGTTAAGCAGTGACTCTCATGACGGCCTCATCCTAAGGAGAGGCTTTTAATATTTTCCATAGGAATCGATGATCTCCCCATTATCTCCAAACCCTTGCTACTAACAATAGATGTTCTAATTTTTGGAAGTGATTTCATCCCCTTGATTTGTTATTGGAGAAGTTAATTATTTGCAAAAAAGTACAGTCAATTCAGAGACCATATTTTGAATGTGATTCTCCTTACTTTTGAGAGTAACAGTTTTCTCCAAGTGGTATCTTATTTCAGTACAAAAAGCTTTTCGAAACAATACGATACCATAACGTATACTTACTTTTGTTCCTAGTGAGATAGTCTAGTGTTTTCTCCTATTTCACATTTAATACTGTTTCCAACATTGTGAAGGAAACAAAAGTTATTGCAACAGCAAGTAATCTCATGATTTTCTAAGAAGAGCTCTGTACATTTCATCTTATTTACCTTTGGCGTCTTGGAGAAATAAGCTTCTTTTGTATTTACATATTTACACCACAGAAGGATCTGTGATTTGGGGGAGGAGCACTAGAAGTAGAATCAGAAGACCTGGGGAAAATCTTGCAGCTTGCTTCTATTTGTAACCTCTCCTTTTTAGAGTTGTGGTAAATGAGTTTATTGATGTATATAGAAGTGCTTAGTACAATGACTTGATGGATCATATATCAATAAATGTAACTATTACAACATTATAAAAATGATAGAAAAGTAGAATACCTATAGAATATTAAATGTTAGAAAAATAGAATATCTATAGAATATTCTCAGGAAAATGCACTTGAAGAAACTTTGGTAAACATTTCACTATCCAAAGATACGCCAGAAGCTAAGGCTCTTGCTTATGGGGTTGTGTGTATCAGGTTAGGAAATATCAAGAGCGTAAAACCCAATTTTCTTTTTTTAATGGATTCAAAATTTTATTAATATTTTATTGTTACAACCTTTGAAATTTTCTGTAATTTAGGGAAAAAACTGTCTCTTGGAGGATCTTAAACGTTCTCTAGGAGGTTTGTAGTTTTTACTTTCAGTTGAATCTGTGGTCTTCAATAAAACTTTTGAACATTGACTGAGTTTAGATGTAAGTTTGAAGTAATGTTGTCAGTGATTTATGCTATAAGATTTCATGATTGCAAAGAGCCCTCCATGTGAAGTCACTGGAAAGTATAATGTCTTTCTTTAATGTTTTTTGTAAATAGGAAGGACTTCTTTTTTTAGACATTCGTTGATCTTGAGTTTTATGTAGGATCTTGGGTCGCACTTGTGTGAATGCCACTTGAGAGAAATAGTTATCTCACTTAGAGTAATTTCTCTATTCTCCAAAGGATGTTTCTTTTATTGTGGTAGAGTTTCCATTGTGAAACCGCTATAATTATGTTGTGTTGTAAACTGAGGTTAGCACTTCGAACGCTCTCCAAATAGGCATATATATTAAAAATAGGTTTGATTTTTGTTTCATGGCGGGCATATTGTAGAATCCTTGACGCGTATGAATTCGTAGAAGCTTAGCCGATTCTCAATTCAGTCTGACTAAAAAGGAGGACCTGTTTGCATCAGAAGGCTCAGTGCCTGTCTGCTCGTGAATTTTCACGTCAATGTAATACTTACTCTATAATCGTAGCAAAGATTCTATGCTGTTATATTCTGGATACAAAGGCAGTTGTTTGGCTTTAACCTTTGTCTACGTCGATTTAGATTTGTATATTTGTTCTATATAATTCTCTTCATAGACTCCCTGCACTTGTTTTCGTTTTTGTTTTTGTTTTTGAAGGGGATAAGTAGTCTCGCTCTGCCGGCCCAGGCTGAGAGTGCAGTGGCACCGATCTCGGCTCACTGCAAGCTCCCCCTTCGCCGTTGTCGGTTCATGCAAATTCATCTACTGGCCTTACAGTACACTCCTCCGATTCAGCGCGGGCACTAAAGGTACCTCCTGTTTCTAGCTTGATGCCCAGGGCTTAAGTTTTGTATTTGTTAGTAGCCATGGGGTTTCACCATCTCGATCTCCCTGACCTCGTGATCTGCCCGCATTCGGCCTCCGGACTAGTTGCATGGCATATTCTCTACTAGGCTCGTTGATGCACCCTCGCTCCCTCACTCCCTGTCTCTGTGTTGCACTTTATGTACTTTCTAGTCAAATGTCCAGTACTCATTTATCCTTTGAATGTGTTCAGGCAATCTCCCTGCAGCTCTTCTGTTTGCCAATTCTTTTCTCTGTTCATTTTGATTCAGACTAATGGAAAGGCTCTTATACAAAATAACGAGTGGTGATTGTGTGGCTCTGTGCTGAATCCTTTAGCTCCTCAATCAGCAGACTGTTCCCCACTTATTTTCTCTGTGACAAAATATATGTATTTCATAATTACAGATGGACGAATATCATTTCTTCCATTCATTAGCCTATTTAAATTTATGTTGAATTGCAGTGGTTTAAATGGGCAAACATATTTGATTCTAATGCACTTGAGTGCATGTTTACTTTTACTACACTTGAATGGTCCTTAAAATAGAGAATGCTGTCACAGTTTAATTTGAAAACATCAAAAGTTACTGAAAATATAGTAGCTATAAAAATGTGTGTGTGGTCTGCATGTATTTATTAAATCAGTCTCGAAAAATGCTGCAGTGTTTTCCAGCCAGTGGATCTCAAGTGTTAATTGACAGTAGCCTGTACTATACACTATTGTTGAATGAATGAACTATATATTTGTATTTACTGGGATTTCCCATTGCTATTGATTTCACTATATTCCTTTTTCTAAAATTTTCCTTTCGACTTTTCTCCTCTTAAAGTTGGGTGTGTTGGAGAATGTACAGTAAGAGCATGTAACTGAGGAAGAAGGAAGCATTGGTATACGTGTTGTAAGGTCAGCTTTCTTGCTAAGGCTGTGGAGAGGTAAGCAGCAAATCCCCTTTGAAGTTGAGAACATAGGAGTCAGACAGATGAGCATCAACATACTAGCTTTTATTACTGACTCCCAGTAACTAATGGGGGATGTGGCTCAGATGTGCGGGCACAGTGGGCTTCTGAACACTTCATCCCAGGTTAGGCATTCACACACACAGTTGTAAGTGGAGAAAGCTTGATACTCATCCCCAAAGCAGGCTGCCTGCTGCAGAGATGACAGCTGACTTGAATTCATGTCACTGTGGGCAGACATATCATTTCACAGGAGAGACACAGAACCAAGCAAGCACAAATTCACCCTTTTGGTAAATCTTCCCACGAGGAAGGTAGAGAGCGTGTAAGTCCTCATGTGGAAATGTGAGGTCAGGGAAGCCAAGGTTCTCCTATCACTTCTGCCTGAATTTAAATTGTAATTGAAATTAAATCCATGTCTTTGTAATGATGAGGAGATGGACAGAAGTGTGCTAGATGAAAAAGATAAATCTGTTTTGCCTCTTCAATTTTGCTATAAATAACCCACAACATGGATAATTGACTTGATTGATTGATTGTGGTAAACCATGTTTTATTTGGAGAAAATTAATAGTCCTTTTGAGGAAGAATTTTTCTCAGCTTCAGCTTGCTTAGTTCACCTAAAGGCTCTTTA